AGCCACACACAAAATTAAAGTGAAATGTTCCCTTTATTTTTTTGAGCAGTATATTTAAAATTTAACTGAAGATATGACTTCAGTTATATCTTCAGTTAACTGAAGATATATTGAATTTTATATTCAATAAAATACAAAGACTTAAATCTTATTGTATAGACTAGGTCATCAAATCACTACGATGCCTGTAGGAATTTTTAATGTCCAGCACGTGTTACTATTCAGTGACACAGTATCGACACAGTTTTGCTATGTGTCGAAACGATACATGACGCCTCATCTACCCATCAGTAGTTTGCAAGCTGTTGACGAAGGGAAATAAAGTTAAAAACAGAACGAGCCGCATTAAGATTAACTAGTGACAGTCAAACTGGGTCCTTAACGCAGATGTTTACAAAACAGGTGGCTTTGTCGTTTCCTGATCAAAACGCGACAAACGTAAATAAACATATGAAAATGTCTCTACTTTCTCTAAGAGCTCTTCAAATCATAATGGTATGAAGGAATATTGAAAAATACATTAAAAGGTCACTAAAATATACCCCACTACAAAGGAGACTGTACTAAACAGAATTTTACTACCAGCCAGCATTGTTAGAGTAATGACGATCATTTTACGTCTTTTCAGTCTTATATTGACTGACATGCTCTGAAAACATATCAATAAATATAAATAGTTATAATATCATGCAAACTAATTCATTGCTCATTTAATGGAAGCCACATTATTTTGTTTTCACTTTAAGACTTCACTCGGCTGCAGAAGCAAAGCTGTGCACCTTGGTAATCTGACAATATTCTTACAGTTAAAGTTTGTATGGCAAACCTGTTAAACAATATTGTCTCCAAAATGTTAGCAGCAAGTGAATTTATTTTTTGTAGACAATAAAATAAACTGGTCCAAAAGGGAATCAGACGATAGCGCTGCTAACTAAACTCGTACCAGCGGTCTCTGAGTTCGGAGAACACTGTTTTAACCACTCAACTATTACGACAGCCAAAAAGCAATGTTCCTCCTTCCATAGGACTCTTTGCACCTCAGCTTCCGCGTTTGGGGAAAAGCGGCTCGATTGTTTCTGATCTATTGAAAATGGCCTTTTACATTAGGTGCTTGCAGGGCTTGGCCAAGGTTTGTACATCGATCCGAAGCCCCAACCAGTCAGCTGGAGAAAGGTTTTAAGATGTTCGCCTCGTTATACATTTACTGATACGAAGGTGCGTTTTACTTAAACTTTGCGGCTAACATTAACCTTATCTTTTGTTAGGCAATATTCTCGGACATTGTTCTTGTAAAAATGTGCTATTTAAGTGTCTAAACATTCTAACGAACAATGTATTTATCTTATTTTCAAGTATATTATGTGTGTTTATTGTCGTTAGTGTCACAGACTAACGGGGACGTTGCGGTTCGGACTTTTTACTTCCGAAGCCTGACGAAGCTCAACAAGCCTCATAGCTCGACAGTAGCGCAGCTCTGGTGTCAGAGATCTGGTTCAGCTGACTGTTCAGGTTCAAAGTTGCTGCTTTTAGAAAAATATGACCGTGCTGCTTCATGTCTCCGTGTTATTTTGTTTTATTACCTTTGCATGTTTCTTGTGAAGAGCTCAGATAGGACGGTGTTTACAGCAGTGTGTACAGGCGGATCAGTTGCTCGGCTGTCTGGCTCTGGTCTGCTCTCTCGTTCCCATATACTCGCTTTTTCAGGCTGAATATAGAAGTGATTCCATGGAAATAACTCAGGGAGGCTCCTTTATTTACCATCCGTATCCCCGGTAGTTTTAGGCTGATACAAAGTGAATTGAAGACTAAAAACGCTGCTGTGCGGCGTTAGCTGGTAGCGACAGATATTTACAAGCCAGGATCGCTTGGAAATTAACGAAAACTTAAAAGCCCATTATATTAGGAAGACAACAATGTTAATAGTATTGTTTTTTTGCATCTGAAATACGACTTGGTCTTTTCTACCAGTCATGGTAACTCAAAGCGGAAACAAGTGAGCCGCATTAGCTCCTGGAGATGTGACGTCAATGCCGTAGGTGCAAAGAGCCCATTGATTTTCATCTAACGGACACCCCGCGCTTTAGGAAGCAAACCTGGATTAACTGGGGGCACTTTCAGAATCTCAGTTTGAGTGAAGATTTTAACCTGTTTCTGATGTAAAAGTATATAAGACAATTGTTTTTTCAGCGATGTCTCATATGGTTGAGAATTACGGTCACTTGATGAAAAGAATAAAGACTTTTAGTTAAATTACGAGGAAAAAATATCAAAAATAAGGAAGAAATGACACAGACCTGCGGTTAGCCATGTCTTCTGTAAATGAGCTAGGAAATAAAGTGTAACATTACAGAAACAGTTAAAAAGATTTTGCTATAGTTTATGTGGATACCTATTTGAAATATCACAATATGAGGAATATGTGGAAAAACTACACAGCCAGTCTATCCTTTTAAACATTTCATTTTTAATCCCAAGGCTCTTCAACATTTATGTTGGCTTTCAGGGATTAATCTTTGCTTTGAGATCTGGTCATCCAACATCGAGATCTATTTCGATCTTCCTTTGACGAGTTTCAACCTCTGAAGCAACACCTAAGTCAGGACAAGTTCTGCGTAATTTACATGTTTTGATGGTTTTGCAGATGAGCTTTTAAAATAAAGGCAACATACCATATTAGACCAATAAAATCTTTCTAATTAGTTATTTCCGAGATCTTAGTGGTTGTTTTACGGAATCGGATAGTATTTTTGCAAAGATTTGTAGTTCTTTAAGCTTATCGCATGGTTTACTTTCTGGTTCGGTAAAGGGGTCCTAAAAAGCCATGCCCAGAGAAACATTAATTTTTTCAAGCAGCCACCACCAGTTGATTTATGCCCCTTTACCACCGGCTCTACTTCAACAACCCGGCTCGGCTCGGCTCTGTTTCGGAGTGACCGCGTTCTGGGCATAACACCGGCCCTCTGTTGCAGGGTACCGCCTCCTGGTGGCGGGGGGGTGTAGCGCCCAGCCTCCAGGAGCTACGTGCTGTGCTTCGTCACATGCGAGCTGCGATGTAAGACGCTGGTTCTGCTCTCGCTGTTGAACCGCTGCTACGCTACAGTAATATTTCACAGACGGAGCTTCGCTTCTGCTCCACCTGGTAGTGACTCTCACACCGAACCTCTGCTTAAAGCTGCAGCATCTAACCTAAAAAAATTAATTCTACATACGTATTAAAACTTTCGCTGTCCTAACATGAGACAGATAATCTCTAAAAAAAAATAATCGATCTCCTCCCTGATCTGCATAATTACTCCGCTCAGTCAGATCAGCCAATCAGAGCTAGCAGTAATCAGCTAGCCGCCATGCTAACAGGAAGTTTTCATTCAGTAACTCAGGATTGTTTATTGTAATGGATCCTGTATTTGCCTTTGAATGTTAAGTTTTATACTTGAATTTTTTGGCAATGTTGAGAGGTTTTATTTTGACTTTTTGCATTATTTAGCCTCTTCAGAGCCTTCATATGTTTTCAGTCTGTTAAAGATAATATTACTGATAGCAGTACAATTTGCACAATGCCTGTTTTGTTTTTTTCTTGGAAAAATTGTTTTTTT